GACTTGAAAACTCTCACCCACGTAAACACATCAAATATGATTGTAACGTGAATTCTGCAAAAATAGTTTGTGAAATAAGAATATTTCATTGATTTTAGTGAACACCATGAGGTACTTCTTATCATAAAGAATGTGTTAAGCAACCTTAAACTGTAGAATAATCAGTATATCGACCAACATTTAAGGTCATATGATCAGATTGTTTAGAAATAAAATTACTCACTCTAATTTTTTCTACAAGAAAAAATTCTTTTATTCCGAAACAGAATAAAACAGAATAAAAGAATCAAAAATAATAAAACCTGATAATAATAATAGTATCGACGAGAAAGGTGAATCCGATGCAGATGTGAGGGCGTGGATTTACAAAGCAAGGGCTGCACTTCTACAGTTGAAAAACAGTTGAACAACTTTAGATTAAAAACAAAATCAGGATTTTCAATACAAATATCAAAACAGTTCTACAGTATGGAGCGTAAACTTGGAGAACTACGAAAGTCATCATCCAGAAGATACAAGTGTATATTAACAGTTGTCTACGCAAAATACTTCGTATTCGTTGGCCAGATACGATCAGCAAGTATAAATGACTTGATTGTTTGTTATTTCCATAAGAAATTATTATTACTTCAACTCACTTTATTATATTAATCTCTAGATCACCAGTTCACTATTTTTTTCATCAGATCCTGATGGTAAAAGGTTTTCAAAATTCAATCAACCCGATACTCCATAAAAAAGTTTGAATCTATCAAGTGAGTTGGCTTTAAACTTACAAGTTTGTAAAAAAGTGACATAACCAGTACTAAAACGTAACTAACGATTGACCACGCTTGACGTATTTGTTTATGCTTAGTTAAATTGAAATTTCTCCATGTAAAATATTTAGCTCAATGAATGTTGTCCTGCGAGTAAAATTTCAGTGTATTGAATACGATAAATGACGATCACGTCACGACTAATTATTGACGTAATGAGATCGAAGTGTCAGTGACTGCTCCGCTCAGCATTCACGATAGAGAGTTTCACTGAGAATAGAAAACGTAAAAGAATTAACTTCACTGATTCGAATTTGTCGGGAAACCTGAACATCTATTTTTCCAGTATCATGCTTCAACATTAGGCTGTTCATTTCAAATTTTTGAATTTATCACCGGATTCTTTTCAAAGACATTATTTTCCAAAGCTAAATTACTTTGAAACATGTGAGTCGTGTTTTGTAGAGCACAAAATAATTGAAATTACCTCAATGTCAAAATGAACTTCACTGCGCAACTTGGACACAGTAATTCTGACTGAATATATTGTAACAACGTAGATTCACCATCTGCAGTCATATGGTTCGTATATTTTTATTGCCCGAAACGATTATTTACAAGTAATGATGTTTCACAATGTCGTTATTAGTTTTCTCGACCTAATCGCTCAACTACATGAAGAATTACTATCGATCATTCCATGGAATTGCATCAGAATTGCAGCTATTTCGCCCAGCATATAGACTTACTAAATACTATTGAATTTGGTTTAATTATTTTATTTATTCTGTCTATTTAGTTCGAGCATAGAATAGTTTACCAATAATATCGACTTGTTGTTAATATATTCTAATATAACCGCGAGATAAGTTGATTCAACGCAGTTGGCAGATCAAGAAAGGTTTTTCATCGAGGGATAATTACTCATCAGTTTTATCTGCAAATACAACTTGAACTTTTCAGTAGGAGATGATTTCTAACTTTGTTTTAGCCCTATTCAACATCACATAAATTGCAAAGTTCATTCGTTTGTGTGTGTTTCACTGTCAGTTTTGGAATAAACAAGAATCGTTTCGAATACTTATTGTTTTATTTTGTGATAAAATGTTGAATGAATAATTTGGAAAAGTAATAACCTAACGACATTATTGTTTGGTAGTTAATTGTAATTTGAAATATGATTGATGCCACCGACTTAATATCAGTTGTGCAAGCGATAAAATTAGAATGGTTAGGCGTTACTGTGGTGATATTTTGTATTGCATATGTGAAATGTACGCGCGTACTTGTCAATTTAATGTTCAAATATTGGAGCGGATTGATTTCAGGTAGCGGAATCTAATCATGAATATGTTCAATGTATCGGATGAAATCATAACGGCATAGATGTTTTGGCACAAGTCGGAGCGAAAAGATCAAAGTATCAGAATGATCTTTTCCATCGGTGTCAAATTCGATACTGACAACAAAGTAGATTTGAAAGTCTCTCATTATATCTAAATGGTATTAATCTAGTTTTCCATATAATCGAGTCACTCAATGAACTGTGCTTGATTTCCGCTTCAAGTTGCGAACTATTTCCGATTGTTATTCCGTAGCACTGTCAAGCACTGATCTCAAGACGTAAGTGATGATATTAGAAATACGAGAAAACAAGTAGAATATAAACGATGAGCGTTTCCTCGTTTCTCCGAACTTTTATCTCGATGAATTATTTGCGACTTTATTGAGCAACATTCCTGCTTGTAAACAATTTGAAAATAGTTTAATTAAGATTATATTAATCCTAGTAAAAATCATGAGTTTTGACTATTGTTCCACTACTATTCCACATCTCTGTCAACTTCAACAAAATCAGTTACATATTATTTAGGAAGTGTAGAAAATTATCTGGCCCTTATTATTATTCTGAACACATCAATCTAAATTAAGAGCTCTGTACTATCAAACGCAATTCTGATCTATTGATATTTCTTCAAGCGAAAATGTTTTTTTTTCATAATAGTTGGTAGAATGAACGGATTGTATGTAACCATATTGATATAATTTTAGTATCAAATGAACATTCCTCGATCAAAAGTTTCTCAGATTCTTGTGCCTTATATTCACGTTCATTATTAATACTCAGAATTATTTAAATTCATGTGTTGATGGATGCGATTGATTAAGGATTATGAAAATATAGTTGGAATCAGATCGATTTTAGTAAAGAATGGCAATAGTTAAAGGGTGGCATTCACCAATACGCCTTTAAAGATATCTCTTACTTACACGGTGAAACTCAACATGTTCGGGTAAATATAGCAACTACCGAGTTTGCTCAATTCCTTGAATGGATCAAGTTCAAAATCACCACTGTTAGATACCGGCTCAGTGGTGCAGATATTAGGCGTTCGCGCACATTACCGAACGTTCTGTGTTCGAATGCTGCGAGGCGCAGGATTCGTGGATGAGAACTGCTGATGAGTCCGAATTGCGTCAAATTAAGCGTAGTTGGGCTATTCTTGTCACCAAATAGAAAAACCATTCCATTGCCTATCTTTTCGCTCCAGAACGAGATGCCAATCTAAGCACACGAGTGACAAACAGGGATGGTAGATGAACACATGAACTGAATTTTTGTCAAGTGAGTTGATTCGGACATGTGTTACGTAATCTCAACCTCCGATATTATTGACGAGCGACAGTTTTTGGTGTTGTAGCGGGTTGAGGGAAAACTTGATAGTTTGCGTTACTTCAAGTGATTCCAACGTAAACGTTCTCTAAGTGTCTTAACTTTCGAATTCCTCAACACATTTTTTTTCTCCTTTTATAATATGTCATAATATTATACTTTTTGATTATTATTTTGTAGAGCAAAGCACCGAGATTGCTGATCATAATGCTACTACTTCTGAATGGACAATTGTCTGTGTGCTTATTTGTTACGACAAGTTGAACTGATTTACGAAGGTACGACGTTTCACGTTGTACCTCACCAACCGGCTGACTAAATCAGTCTTCGTAATATCAAATTATCTAAATCTCGCAATCCAGCTTCCACTTAAGCGCTGGCGTTGGGGCAAATTAGAAGACTCCATCATTATATTAGTTTTCTGACTGATTATGGAAAAGCAGTGAAAGCGGGAGCATTTTTGATGAAATTTCAGAGTTCACTTTAGGCAAAATGAATATATGCTTTATATCAATTTTCGTTACACCAGAAAACTGTCGATTCATAACCAGATCTATATTTTGACACAAATAGCTTCAGTAAATGATTACAATAGCAGAGATATTGAAAAACAGATATTATTACAAAACATGGCTCCAATAAGACAAAATAACATGAATAGATGATGAAAGATCAAAAGAAATGAATTCCAGTTACAGCAAATATAAATAAAATGTTAAATGAACATTGAAATATCAAAGTAAGAAGATATCACGTTCAACAGATGAATTTAACGAAGGAACGTGCGATGAGTGCAACGGTGGTTGTTTTTTAGGAAAGTACACAATGTCAGTAAAATTATAATTATCGGCACTGGATTTCATTTCTCTGATGTAACTTGTTATTAGTTAGCGAATGAGAAGAACAGCGTGCATAACATTAATTGGCTTTCAAATAGACAAAATGCAGATGTATGTCGACACAATGATTTATTTAGTGTACCAATGAACTAGCATACAATTGAATTCGCCTACGTATTGATTTTCTAAAAGTAATTAAAACATACGTGAAAACAAAAATAAGACAGGCAATGTAGTGATGAGTGGAAATTGTTTTCGTATCCAACACGTTTACCGCCCTAAATCCCTTTAATCAGTCAGGAATTTGACGATGGTGTGACTTTAACAATACTGCTGTATGTTTTCACCAGAACCATCGTTATGATATTTTGTACCGCCTAACAGCATTCTGCATGTGAATGAAACGTATTTGTTACTGAATTGTTGAACGACGATATAAACCGTATTTCTAGAACAGGTTATCCTGTTGCAGTTGCGTTTGATTCAACTTGACGTTCGATCTGTGTGATACAACTTATTGTCCCGGAAAAAGACCGCTTCGTCATTCGTCTATACAGTTTCCTTTATTGAACAAGAAGGTGGGAGTATCACGTATTCAATGCATCTTCCGCAAAACACATGCTTAGTATTTGATTTTCCGTAATGAGACCAACAGTGACAGTTTATCTGAGTTCGAGAATGTCTAATTGGTAACTGTGATCATAAAAAGGAATCTAGTAACAAACCTACATTTGATTTTCTCCTGTATATCCATAACGCCAAGATGCAGACGATGCTGACAGTGACAAGCAAACCGATGGTTGGAATAACAATATGCGGGTACCATCCAGATTTGCCAGTTGGATTTGCTAGGATTTCTTTCTGTTGGATAAATGCGATAGATTGCATAATATCAACATGTGAGTTTCTTTGAGAATCAAATAATATGAAGGTAAAAACATGTATATTTCAGTTGCTGACCCTGCTACATAACCAAAACATTTCTGCCTGAACGTAGTTCGACCGACGGCTACAAAATTATTATGTTGACGGTGATTTTAACGAACAAGGTAGACCGAATATCTTTGAACAGACCTACAAACTAATTGACAATATGCGAATTTCTTCAAGCAGTGTATCAACTCTTTATTGTGAAAATGTGTGTTCACTGATATACACCTCACCGGGTTACATAATCGCAATCGAAATGTAAACCTAAATATGACCTACGGTCATATTGATCAAATTCAATCAGCATACACATGTCACAGAAATTAAAGTAATGAGCATTGAATGCTGAAGTATTTGAATTGTATCTGATTGTCGATGCGTTATTCAAGATTCCACCGGATCGCTCTTCATTATAGAAAATAAAGGCATATGTAAAAATGATCGAATCAAGTTGAATGTGAAATTCATTTCTTTCAAGCGAAAATTTCGAACAACATTTTAACTCAGTGCCTCTTGTTTTCATGGACATCAATGTATTCCTATCTGCTTGGATATCGTCAACATACAAATTATTTATTTCAGTATTATGGAGTGAATATCGTTCAGTACTGTTTCATGGTCATAATATACTGCCCTGCAAGAAAAAAAGGTTTCATTATGTAGAACATATCATTTTTGAAAATACTCAGATTAGTCGAATGGATACTCACGTTACTATAGCAAACATTATCTTTCCAGATTGCAGCATACCTATCGTAACCATTGCTACATTTGTCAACTGTCTGACACCAGTAACATGTAAAATTGGATGTTGTTGCAGCTAAGCATGATTGAGGCGACTGCTGTATAGAACAAAATTCTGTGAAAATGAAGAAATTAATACAATTGTGATTAGGCAGCGAAAATATTATTCATGCTATTTGAATTGTGGAGTATATTACTCGGAGAATTTTCACGTCAAATATGCTGAGTAGAACAGCCACTGAATTTTTCACGTCCTTACAATAACAGCCAGTAATAATCTCAGTCTTTCCCTCAGTCAATGTCTTGTCAATGACTTCGAAGATTTCCGCAGGAAAAGGTTGGCCGCCTGTCGTCGTGTGGAAATATGGTCTATACAACCACGGCACGGTCGAAAACCAGCCTGGTTTTCTATAGTCTGCTCTTCATCAGCCTTCGTTAAGCGTCGAAGTATGATTGGGGCCAATATTTTAGATACTATATCAGTTGAACTTATTCACCTGTGATTGTAACAAGAAGACTTTTGTCCTTTCTCATAGATTGAGAAAAGCGGTGATTGCGACCATTCGGATGTGATTACATCCAGTTGCCAGACTCTACCCAAGATCTCAGTCAACCTAGCTGCTACGACTCGACTACCATCCATAAATATTTCAGGTGTCAGTCCATCGCCCTCGCTTCAGATTTCTCAACGCTTTCTCAACTTCGTAAAGTCTAGGGGGCTTACGTCGATTTGCCATTCAGGACGACTGGCGATCGTGGGTAACCGAAGTGTGGCTCGAAGCCAGTGGAACTGATGTTTGAAGTGTTCTGCACATCGGTCAAGTCTCCTGCATGGAAAATGGATAAAAGGACTATCATTTTCCGAAATAGTCTCACTCATATTTGGGTTCCTTATACCGCTTTCCTTGATACGTTGGTACAACTCTCGGTTGTTGACAATAGCCGCTGCCTTTTTCATCGCTTTTGATGTTTACACAGCCTTCTTGATATCATTCCAACCTGCTTCCAGATTAGAATCTCTTGCATGGTTGCTGAACTCTCTTTCTAGTTGCTCCTGAAATATTTTCTTAGTTTGATTAACACTATGTAAAACCATGAGAGGCTTTATTACGTTGTCCTTCCTACGCCCAGTAAGCCCCAAACAAATGCGTGCTCACACTAGGGAATGATCTGAATATAAACATGTGCCACAAAACGAGCAACTGTCCTCTGTTGAACCCCTCTATCGGTGGCTGATGGCGATCTGATCTAGTTGAGTCCAACGTTGAGAAGACTTTAGAGATCACCAGATAAACAGATGATTTTCCTTATGCCTAAAGTTAGTGTTTGCTAAGTATAGGCGGTTGTCTGCTCATACTTGCAACAGACGGTCGCTATTGACTATTCTTACAGCCGTGACACCATAACATTTTCACTTAGTCTACCTACTTGAGCAATTAAGTCACCAGCCATTGTTCAAATAAGAGAGCCCATCTTTTTGGAGGAGGTCCAAATGCTTTCTGTAAAACCCATCTTTAACGTCGTCTGAACTGCAGTCATTAAACGCTCCAAATTGTGGTCTAGAACGGGGTTTCAATTTACAAGGAATGGCGTTTCGTGAAATTGCATCATCTGCATTAGCGATGCATTGAGAAAAAGGAACGGTGAGTAGAGGTCGTTGTGCAGATAAGAAAGGTGTGTGTGGGTGAAGGAAGGGTTTGATTTGAATCAGTTCGGTCTCGGGTATGAGGGTGACTGTCAATTCCCAGGAACATGATATGGAAGATAGATTAGTGTTGGTCATTGAGACCTGAGTGCGTGACCGCAGAGCCCAAGGGACAACTGCTTGAGGTCAGTCACACACGGCCCTTATTGAAAGGCTTTTAGAGGATTAGCTACGCTCTTAAAAGCAGTGAGTGCGCACCCATGCGAACGGAGACGGATATCTGTGAGGTCGGCTGAGGTGTGACATTTTTAGGGTCGACGTATTCTAACCCTTCCCTCCTTGTCAGAAGTCAGCATCGCTGCAGGTGCTGGTTGACCGATGGAAACACCCTACTGCTGTCACACTTCTCTGCAGTCCTCAGTACGACTTCGCCCTCAGACCTTGAGTAACTGCTTTTAGTCTAATCGTTATCCAATCGACCTGCCTAGTATGATAGAACCTCCAGGAACATATGTTCCAGCCAGTCTAGCTCGGTTGGGTCATCACGATAAGCAAGCTCGACCACCACGTCAAGGTATCAGCTACGGTCGGGCAGTATTAACCTGATTGAAATTTACGACATTTCGTCCATCACCTATAAAGCATTCTGCTCAATAAACATTTGATGCAATTTGTAATCAAAAAAGAACGAAAACGGAACTGGTAATGATACATATCAATTTAATATACGCTGGAAATCTTCATGCATGTAAATGTATAAAGATTGTTCTACATAACTTAAATGAGGAAATTCTATTTCATGATTAGAAATCAAATCATTCATTTAAATAAAATGTTTATTCAACATGCACTATTATTATTGTTATTATTACTTATTAGGTAACGTTAACATACGTGTCGTTGGTTCAAATTCAACCAACGTGCCAGATGCTATCCATGATGCTGGAGTATCGATGAGACTGTAAATTGCTAGATCTGGAAAGCAAGTTCCTAATGGAACAAAAGGAAACCTATGATCTGAGGAATAATATTACAAACAGAATTATTGCAATAAATGATGTCGAATTGAAGTTGCAAACAACCACTAATCTATTCACAGCGAGTAATCTGAATGCTACATCTTACACAATAGATATTTCATTTTATCGAGCACATTGTGCATTTTCTCAGATTCAATCCTACCTATAAACATACATTTATTGCTTGATCTGATACTAAGCTTGATAATGTCGTTGGGGAATGAAAAATGAACACCTTTTATAACAAATGTCAGTCTCGCAAACCAGTCACTTGGTGTCCGCATAAATTCTGTTGAAGAGTTGTTCTTCCAGACATTTCGAATTGTGGTCGCATTATCACATTTCTTCAAAACTGGAAACACTTCATTCGACTCGTTGAGAACTTCATGATTCGAAAAGACTGTTTCGTGATCTGATGTCACAACTGATTATATATTCAGGCAGTATAATTTATATTTTCACTTCACAATACAATCATGTAACACACGTGCAAATATGATTAAACAATCATTCATTATTTTGCTCAATATGCCAAAAATCAATTTTATTTCACACCGGGAACGACTGGGGAATGCAGATAATTCATCTACACAACATTATGTATTATGCTCCCAGTAACAAACAATAGCACAATATACTACTTTGCTTATCTCTGAGGCTTTTGTGTAAAGTGGTACTTAATCAAGTCCTTGTGTGCGTTTTTAACATACGTACAACTTTACATATCGTGCTTCTTACTGGTTTTTAGTTCATACCAAGATGAATCTGACAATGTTGCTCCAAGGAAATCTTTCCAAGCTCCAGTAGGTATCTGAAAAAAAATATCAAAGTTCGTATTGAGATCTGTTGCCGGTCAACCACGCATACTATATACAAGTAATTGACATTATGTGCAATCAGTCAGGTGACCACAGTGATATTCACTCAGGCGTCATGGTATTCATAACTGCAACCTGAGTATACTTTTGATGGATTTTCGTGAAAAATTCATTCTACTTCTGTCTCCAGCTTTAGTGAAGTTTCCTGAACAATCAACTGTTGATAAAATTGGCTGAAGAACTGTTAGTTTATTATCCACGTGCTTCGAAGTGAAATGTATTTTCCTACCTACAATCGGGATTGTGTCAGTCTTCCAACTTTCATCGTATTTCGTATGATGTGAAAATTCACATAGGAAGACATTCTTATTTGGTCCACACTCATATAACATTTGTAAAGTTCCGTCGAATAGTCATAACAACTTCGCTGTTTGATCGACATGTCGATACCTCAGTACACGGTATTCGTTTCCGAATGAGAACACAACAGCAGTACTTCTCTGAGGATACGCAGTGTACTTCAATCATCAATCCTCTGAAAACCGTTCCTGTAAACGTGTTCAGTTGATATCATTTATTTCTCAGTATTCATATTACCTGTGCTACACGCTTAACAGATATAATATCACATGGGCTCTTTCCATCATTCAAAGTGTTTTTCTGCTCATTCGATAGAAATGAGTGATGTACATGATTTAGCTTGAGCAAGGCAATCAAAGTGAGAGTTCTACAAGTTATCACACAGCTTACGTTTTCATAGTAAAATGAAATCTTTCCTTCCGGATATAACAAAATCTGAACCTGAGAAATATCTACAAAAGTAAAAAGAAAATTTCCGGTATGTAAATCACCCTCAAGAATTTTTTCCGAATCTGGCGTTCCACGCATGCTCATTTACTGACAGTTTTGTGTCACATTGTCACAGTTCTGTTTCGAACATATTCTATCAGCTATATTGATTTATTTTCACTGAAGTGTTTTCAATATGTTTAAACGAAATTCTGTCTGAATTGAACAAATATAGTGAGTTTTAGATCTTGTTCTCCATGTAGACGACTATGGAGCTACTCAGGTTTGGACATTAAAGAACCTTCGAACACTTGCACTCATGACAATGAACAACTAACAACCACATCAACAACCATTCAGTTTATCAAACATTGAAAGGTTCAGAGATAAGCACAGGATAATGAAGCAAACTTAAAAGAGATAAAAAAATATCGAGATAGACAATAAGAGAATGAATTTCAATGAAAGCGAAAGACAATCAAGGCCAATATAATTAGCTATGATAACATCAAATGCCTTACATTGACCCGCTGTGTGTGCTGAAGAGGCTGTTCGAAAACTGCACTCTGAAGCTCATTGCAATTATTGAATTTTATGTCTCACATCAGTGATTCGTTAAACACTTATGAAACGTAGGTGACGTTTGTTTATAATAACTAATTCATAAATCCGTGTCCATGTGGTCGAACAGACAGTTTCATAGATCAATAATTTTTCTAATATATACAAACACACACTTTCTCACTTTTATCAGTTTTTAAAAAAGTGAATTGAATATGCAAACTGTGAGTAGTCATAGAGAGTGAAAGTTTGTATAATTTATGATTTTTCATGCATTCAAATAACCATTTACGTTTACTTACGTTTGTCACCAGCAATAGCGTGAAAATACCATTTGACGGCAAACACATCATCTGAAATAAATATAGAAGATCAGAGTGTGCACACTTATGTATAGTGTTTGACTTTTCTGTCAAAAAATATACAAGACGGCACAAATATCGTTCGTATTAGAACTAATCCATCAACGTTCACTAATAGATATCATTGATTTGACTTCATTACATCAGCCATTATATGTTCATTGAGTAGCCTTGATTTTCTCGAGAGCAAAGCTTATGATGACATCAAAAAACACCGTTTGAAAACCAGTAATATAATAAATCTTAAAATGTGTGAAACATGTGTAGCAAAAGTAACTCAAGATGAACTTACTGGTGCTCAAAAATTCTGTTTTCAATAATGTTTGGTAATTTGAAATCGGAGTTATTATTCCTACAGCTGATCCGCTGTTCCTAGGCTCAGTTATCACAAGTTGAACTGAGTTATGATAGAAAAATTGAATAAGTGAAGTTTTAGTTATTAAATGAAATAAATAATATGAAGATCAAATTTCAGTAATGAATTTGGTTGCTGCAGAATATAACTCACCATTTCCTAAACCAACTGAATCGTAATTCATACCATAATATTTAATCGAGAATGGAAACTTTGGTGCCTAGTCATATACACATGTCTTTATGAGTACATATAGGAAACTCACGGAGCCTTCAATCAGTTGAACTAAATTTCCTTCCACGACTGGACGAGGTTGTTGACGACGGATTTTCTGTGAATAATAATAGAAATCCACCTGTGTATGTAAATTAGTATCTTTCGGATAAGTTACATTTCTATATGTCCCGTTTTCAAAGATGGTCTTTGCGTATTCCTTACGTTCGAATTTACCAATGTCTGTGCACACCTCTTGACACTCGAACATGTAAGGATGTATAACAGCCAACAAGCAAATCTGTATCAACAATTTAGATGCTACAAATATCCTGAAATATATACAAAGAATATTACATTTTAATAGCACTTCATAAAAACGGAAACATGTTTTCTCTACTCATTCACAGAAATTTTCGAGTCCATACCCACATCATTTTCCGGTTCAAATGAAAATAAACTACGTTAAAAGATCAACGCATCTTTTTGATACGATGGTGAAAGACATCCAATAAAAGTGTGAAGGTTGAATGAAATCATTTTCATATTATTGGTCAAACGTCATGATAGGTGATTTAATCTGTTAATCATAATGAGCATTGATTATTTGGTCTTGTGAGTGCGTATATCATTCATCATTTGAAGTTGATCACGTTGTTCAGCAGACTAGATTGACTTAATGAGAAAATACCTGTACTGAAATTCAGTAATAATCGCGATTTGCTACTCATGATGTCATTGATATCATACGGAATTAAAGAGCGTCAAAACAAATTGAATGCAGTTACAAAAGTGGCTTCTGTTGGGGATGTTAGATCCCCAAAATTCGCATGATAATGCCGTATTTTGGTTTTTTGTTTCGCCAGCAGGGGCTGATCAAATGACCTTGAGATTTCAATTCCCACCAGCAAAATCAATGGCTGTGATTGGCTGCTGTGTATTTTAGTATGCTATTTTCTTAACTGTCTCAAGGACGTTGTTATGTTGTATAAATAAACGAGAGTTGTATGCTTGATTGTACTGGGATTGCTGGGTGCTTGTAGAATATACTTTCTACGCTTACCAAGACTTCTGTTTTCCCGTTTGGATTCAAGGTAGCCTTCCTGGAAGCTGGTAAAAGTATCGTTCGCGTTTATCGACTAAGGTAAACTCGTAATAGCCTCAAGCATCCTAAGTGCCGAACTTATCAGTGGCGACGGGGCTTACAATTCACAATGTCAATTAATCTTGAACAGTTAGAATCTTTACTGGAACGTCGAGGTAAACGATATGAACAGTTCCAGGAACGTATGTTGGAGCTGTTAATGAAACAAATGAATTCGAACCCACGAGATTGTTCGTTTTCTGAGACTGTTCAGACTTTAAGCCAACACTTTGGAGACAACTCGTCACTATTTAATACTCGTTATCGATGTTTGAAGCTTATTATGAACGAAGATGATGATTTTCTTACGCACGTGGGCATCGTCAACCGTGAATGCGAACGCTTTCGGTTGAAGTCTTTGTCGGAAGACCAGTTCAAAGCCCTCATTCTCATCTGCAGCCTCCAGTCGAGTAAGTTCAGTGACATTAGAACAAGGCTACTAAGTCGGTTGGAGCAAGATCCAAAGCTTACGCTTAATGATATGGCTCATGAGTACCAACGTCTCACTAACCTACAACGAGACTCGACTATAGTTCAGAGTGGTAGTTCAAGCCGATCTGAAATTCATTTGGTACAGCAGCCACCTAATCATTATAAGTCTGCCCGTGCTACACCCAGTTCACCTCGCTCCAATTCGGACCAAAAACCCAAAATGAATCCACCTTCTGCTTGCTGGCACTGCGGTTCATGGCACTATGTACGGAACTGCCCATTTAGGCAGCATAGATGCAGGAAGTGTAAAGTCATCGGTCATAAAGATGGCTTTTGCCTACAGAAAAAGCCAAAGCGATCCAGAAGTGCTAAGAAGCCTGTTCCTAGATCCAGTACCAATGCATTGAGCCTAATATCTTCCTGCCGAAGTTCATCACCAGGTGAGAGGAGATTTATTACTCTTAATATTAACGGTTATTTGTGTAGAATGCAAATAGATACTGCATCTGATGTCACTATCCTCTCACGCAAAAATTGGACCAAATTGGGCAGCCCAAGCCTGCAGCACACAACACAAAAGCCTCGTACAGCATGTGGTAATTATCTTCGTCTGTTAGGACAATTGGAATGTAAAGTTGCTTTCCGGGATTCATCGTTTACTGGGGTATGCTATATAACGCCAGCTGATCTAAATTTACTTGGTTTAGATTGGTTCGACCAGCTGAAATTGGCTGATGTCGCGCTAAATACCATATGCAACCTGGTATCACAACGACATGACCCAGAAGCGTATACGAAGAAGCTGATGACAGAGTTTTCAACCATTTTTGAACCTGGATTAGGTCGGTGCACTGCTATGAAAGCAACACTTCGGTTGAAACATGGGGCTAAGCCTGCTTTTCGTCCAAAGAGACCTGTACCGTATGCTACATTAGCAACAGTAGATGAAGAGCTGGATCGCCTTCAACGACAAGGAGTTATTACTCCCGTTTCTTACTCCAGTTGGGCAGCACCTATAGTCGTTACCAAGAAGGGCAACGGCACGATACGTATATGTGCTGACTTCTCTACGGGTCTCAACGCAGCTCTAGAACAGCATCATTATCCTCTGCCACTCCCGGCAGATCTGTTCACTATGCTGAATGGGGGAAAGTTCTTCGCAAAGCTTGACCTAGCTGATGCTTATTTGCAAGTGGAAGTCGATGAAGCATCTAAAGAGCTGCTTACTATCAACACTCATCGCGGTTTGTTTCAGTTAAGACTGCGCCGTCTATCTTCCAACAACTAATGGATACAATCCTGTCAGATATCCCAGGGGTTGCAGCTTATCTCGATGATATCTTGATTGTTGCGAAGACGTTAGAACAGCTACGGGAACGCACGACATTGGTACTACAACGCATCAGTGACAATGGTTTCCGGTTACGCCCAGAAAAATGCCAGTTTCTATTGCAGTCGGTAAAGTATTTGGGATTTATCTTTGATGCCGACGGTCGCAGACCGGATCCTGAAAACATCCAAGCTATCAAACTGATGCCTACTCCCACTAATGTTTCCGAATTACGATCTTTTCTCGGTTTGATCAGTTATTATTCAGCTTTTGTTCCCTCGATGCATGATATTCGCGCTCCATTGAATTGTCTACTGCAGAAGCATAGCACATGGAACTGGACTAAAGAGTGTGACGCGGCTTTTGGTAAACTCAAGTCTATAATTAGCTCGGAATTGTTATTAACACACTACGATCCATCCATGCCGATCATCGTAGCAGCAGACGCTTCAGCATATGGCCTAGGCGCTGTTATTTCACATCAGTTTCCAGACGCGTCAGAAAAAGCCGTTATGCATGCATCCCGTACACTAACCCCAGCAGAAAAGAAGTATAGCCAGATAGAGAAAGAAGCTCTTGCCCTTGTGTTTGCTGTTCGCCGTTTCCATAAGTTTCTGTACGGTCGAAGATTCACGCTCCTCACAGATCACAAGCCTCTGTTAGCAATATTTGGTTCAAAGTCTGGCATTCCAGCCCATTCTGCAAATCGTCTTCAGCGATGGGCCTTGGTACTTTTGGGGTATGATTTCGAAATCCAATATCGACGCACTCTACAATTCGGTCAAGCAGACGCTTTGTCACGACTCATTAATGATCAAGTGGCGGCTGAGGAAAACATGGTGATCGCATCTCTGTCAGCAGAAGACCACGCAGAATGTTATCTGACAACCGCAGTTCGCGCGTTACCGGTGTCTGCAACAGACATACAAAATGCTTCTAGAAACGACCCCATCATCAAGATGACGATGAAATATGTCACTAACGGTTGGCCGTCGAAAAAGTTTGAAGGTGACATGAAGCAACTGTATCAGCGGCGGGAGTCACTATGCATCGTGAACGATTGTCTGATGTTTGGTGAAAGAGTAGTGGTGCCAGAATCCCTTCGTGCAAAAGTGCTGAGACAGTTCCATCTTGGTCATCCTGGGATTAAACGAATGAAGTCCATAGCCAGGAGTTATGCATACTGGCCTCACATGGATCAACATGTCACAGCGTTGGTTGAAAAATGCATGAGGTGTCAGCAGGCGGCAAAGATGAATGCCAAAATTCCGCCGGTTTCATGGCCCAAACCTGAGCATCCTTGGTCCAGGATACATGTCGACTTCGCTGGCCCAATAAATGGAACTATGTATTTAATTGTCGTCGACGCCTTTTCTAAATAGCCGGAAATCAGCCCCGTTATGCCGCCCACTACAACTAAGACTATACAGCTCCTAACTGAAATTTTCTCACGGAATGGCATACCAGATGTGATCGTATCCGACAATGGCTCTCAATTCACCTCTTCCCAATTCCAG